ACATTATCACACACATCTTTTTCTTGCTAACTATCTCTGGTGGGCTCAGAAATCTGATAAGGGATTTTAAATTCCCTGTCTTGTTCCTGCTTGGCTACCTCACAATTTATTTCTTGGGTAATAGCAAAAATTGACTCCTTTGCTTATATAGCATTAACTTGGTGAAATAATTCATGTCTGCGTCAACCCAGAATATTAAAATCTTTATTCTTCTTCTCCCTTCCTGTAACTGGATAAAATATCAAACTAAAATGTTAGGAAGGGGGGTCTCCCTGGTGGCGCAGCTGGTTAAAGCACTGCACTAAGAAGCTTAAGCCACCTCCGCATGAGTTCGATCCCCGCCTGCCCCGGAGGAGATCCACATGGTGTGGCAGACCTCTCCTGACCCGCCCGCTGCTCCCCTCAGCAGTGTACTTCGTCGATCTGCCTGTTCTGCTCCCTACTCTGTCCCTGGTGAATCCTCTTACCCTCCGTATCTCTGGCCTGTACCCCAGTTCTGTATGAATAAATAAATAAATCTTAAAAAAAAAAAAAAGTTGGGAAGGGAAAAGAGCAGAATGTTATGTGTATTGAAAAAAATGTTTTGTTTTTTTTTAAAGCTGTTAGAAAAATAACATTTTACTACTTTAATGGGATTATTAACATATTTTGTGTTGTGGTTTTATGGGAGGTCCTATTTCCACTATAACTTGAGTCAGTGGCTGCAGGTGAAAAATATTCCTACTAGGCTTTTTGTAATAAGGGATTGAGGGATTTTTAGGGCACCAGCAAATTCCATGTGAACCTTCAGCCTAAATTTCATTCTTGCTTTTTAAAGAAAGTGATTTTGTGTGTATTGAGAACCACTTTTTTTTTTTTTTTCACAGTTTAAGACTGGGTATGCAAGAGGACTTAGAGGAAATGAGACGTGAAGAAGAAGAAATGAAACGTCGAAAGACCAAGAAGCTCAAGAGGCATTAGTTGCTGCTTTTATTTATTTTTGTGAAATTCTAGAGATAATCTGCTATAAGGAAGTCCTGCCTTCTGACTGAAGAAGCCCCCTCATCATTTAGTTTTTTACTTGGTACTCAAGGAGAAGGAATGCATACTGTCATTTACAGGCTATCATTTGAGCATAAAGTATATTCAAATACTTTCTAGGGTAAAATCTGTAATGCAGATGATAAAATGCCCAGTGAGTGCTCCAATGAAGTTAACTGTTCACAGGTGCCAGCCTTGCTCCTGATGAGCTATGCACTCGACTGTGGGGCCACTCACCAGTCAGCCAATCTCTTGTTCCTTTGCTACTCTAAAAAGGAAAATAAAAAAGGATTACCCCTTGACTTCCATATTTCTGCTGATGTGTGAGTCAGGCACTGTCTGGCTCCAAAACTTATTTTGTCTTTTTATCAGGAACCTGGCCCTTCCATGAAAGTTGCCAGCAATAAAGTGACCTGTCTTTGGATTGAGAAAATGATATATATAGGCTTTATAACTATATGGATGTCATCTTTGTGACGTTGAAAATTAGAATAAATTATATTGCATTCTGCATTACTCATGGATTGGATGCTGAGCATTCTTATTCACTAATTTAGGTGATTAGGCAATTAAAAAATTATTCCAAGTTAAATACAAGTTATGCTATTTTGTATATTCTTTTTAAAGTTTTCCTTTTTTGGTTTGTTGTTACGTTAGCTTTTGTGTAAAATAGACAAGGTCACTGTGCTTATTGTTTATCTAAAAAATACCATTTTTATATTGAAGGAAAATATTTTATTCAAACATTAGATTTGGAAGAGAAATAGTTTAAAAAATAAGTGACATGTGAGGCTCCCCTCTTTTTTCCTTCCCCCCAATTATAAAGATATTTTGGAATACAAGGTGCGCCTGTATCTCTTGATAGTAATTCCTGTGCATTTTTATCTTAAATTTCCTAACAATTAATGGCAAATACCAAAAACAAGTATGTGTATCAAGAGCACCACCTTATCTTTTGCCCATATTGCACTTTTATTTCAAACTATGCACTGTGAAGAGATTATTTCCCAGGTAGAAAAGGATGTTTCCCTATTACTGGTCTTTTACTAGGCTGTGGAATGGTCTTCTCATCTGTAAGGCCTAACTATAGATTTGATATCTCTTAAGCCTCAAGTCCAAACAATTCCAATCAAGCTGACCTAGGTTCTGGCTGAGAGTAGCCCAGTCTCAAGGAAAGTCAGCTACCGAGAATGATACATGATACTGAAGAGCATTCTCAGTGTGAAGGGTTGGGAACAGTGGAACATAAGCTTATAAAATAGCTCTGCAGTAAACACCATGGCCATCTTATACCACTCAACAGTGGTGATTAGGAAATAAGATAGGCCCTGCAAAGAATCCTTAACTCTGCAAGGTCCAAACTATTGTTTTTTGAATATTCCTTCTTATTCAGTTTTCTGTAGTCAAGAAAATCCATAATAGATTACCGCTGTGATGGTAAGCCCTAATAGTCATCTCTTAATGGGACAACCATATGACCATTTCTTTAAGACTGACTTGAATTTAGTTTCAAATTTTGAACGTGTAAGCTTTTCATTTTGCATCTGTGACAGGTGTCTTCACTAGGAATTTAGGCACCCTGTCCAAAGCTCCGCATAGAACTAACTGGTGGCAGAAAGTCCTATTGATTGCCTATCACCCATCTCAAATAGCATCAGTGAAATTAAGGGTGGTGTTATGTCCCATGTAATAAAAAAAAGTTTGGAACATTATTTCCTTTGTTGTCACTTAAGTGCTTTCTTTTCTCTCCCAAATGTTTTTTTTCTTGGATTTTTAATCTTCAGACTATAATCTGCAATTGTAAGTGCTTGTCATAGCTGAAAGATTTCTGGAGGCTGAAAGTTTACTAGCACTTTACTCGATATTGTACAGTTATTTGTACAGAGGCACCACTGTTCAAAATAGTTCCAAAACTTGGTAAGAAGTCAGATTGTGTCTAGGTTGTCTTAATTCTGGATACTTTCTTCTATAGTATTGATGTTTATATGATTCAACTCAACATTATAAAAGGGTACTTCTGTAGTTCATTTTTTTAAGAAAGTTCTGAGTCTAAAACTTATCTTGGCCTTTCTAAAGCCTGTCTTCCATTTCGTTCTACAATTCCCAACTAGTAAAAAAGCTCAAAAACATTTGAAGAAACTGGAATAGGCTGTTATTTTATCAAAGTTTACAAATTAAGTGCTTGATTTTTAATGTATCCTCTACTGTTCTGATTTTCAGATTTTATTAATTCAATATTTGAAAATGTGCCTTTTATTGGGTAATGTTAATTCATGAATGTAGTAATGTCATCTCGCGATGGTAATGTTATATGACCATAGGATGCAGCATTCTCTAACAGATGATGTGAAAGGAAAGTAGTTTTCATAAAACTCACATGGCTCTGATTGCACAGTCCCACTTGCTTTGATGTTGCTATGTCAAAGCAAGGGGCACTCTTAAGGCTACTTTCAGAAAATGTGTCTTTGTCTTTTCTCTAAAGTATAAATGCAGTGATGTCCATTGGGAGGCCAGGGTTCCACATGTCACAGGCAGCCTTACATGTGTGCCATGAGAAGATTCAAAGACTGTTAATAAAATAGAAAGTCTATGGGAACTTGGAATTTCACTTTTTAAAATATGATCCCCAAGATTTTCTCTAAGAAATAATTACAGTTTTGTATTTTGTCATTTAAAAGCAGCTATTAGTACATTTCTGAGATATGCAGGAGACCAAAACATGTTTAGAAAGAGAATATATGAAGAAAGACTGGTTGTTTTATTTTCAATGTGCTGGATATATTAGACTATTTATTTTGTGAGTGGATGTAATGAAATATTCAAGTGTTTAGTGTATAATTAAAGAGTGGAATTAGATTTCTTTGAAGTTATTAAATCCATGTCTTTATAGAATGGGTAAATCAAGTTAAAAAAATTTAATAGTTTAGCTTGTTTTTTGGTGCTGTTGACTTGCAAGAGAATCTACTTTTGCATATACAGGTAAAAATTTTGCAATTTATGTGTAAAAGAAATTGTAGGCATTAAAAGTATTTTATTGATATTTTTCACTGATTTGCATTTATTTACCAAAATTCAGATACTCCTTATCACCTGGAACATTTTTCTAGCTAGAAATCCCAGCAGACTCATTAGGCTCAAAGATACAATTTGACTCCTTAAACACAGGCCTCTGATTATTCTCCCTTAGACATTCATGTCCGCTCAGCCCCTAACACTGATACCTGTCCTCTGCCCTACCACCTGCTTAGAGAACTGTTCCACTATCACAGAGCCAAGTTGGAGAACTGTTTGGAAGTATACTCTGGGAACTGACGGAGGCAGAACTGGGGATATATAGTTCCTCTTGCCAGGAAAACTGAGCAGGTTCTGATTCTCCATATAAAGAACCTGAAGTGGCTGAGAAAGGGAGTCCTTACGAAGATACAAAGATATGTAAGGAAAGTAAGCACAGCCATGCAGTCAGAGAATCCAGACAATGCATTCCATCAGGGTCAGGAAGTGTAAGTATGCTAGATTCAGAACTTTGAAAGTTTTGCTTAGGAATTTTAAATCTACTTTTCTTCACATAAAAAGAAGGCAATCCATTCGGTGTAGAGTCCCTTCAGAATAGTTCAGCAAACGTACCCAGTAGTCATCAACAAAACTTATTATATTACCAAAAGATGCACTTTGCTTGTGGGGGGGTACACTTTAAAAGTATTTGCTCCTGTTGGCTTTTCCTCACTTTTAGGGCCTGAACCTAAAAGCTCCAAACCATTTTTTTTTTAAAGATTTATTTATTCATACAGAACTGGGATACAGGCCAGAGATGTGGAGGGTGAGAGGATTCACCAGGGACAGAGTGGGGAGCAGAACAGACAGACCGACGAAGTACACTGCTGAGGGGAGCAGTGGGCGGGTCAGGAGAGGTCTGCCACGCCATGTGGTCACCTCCGGGGCAGGCAGGGATCAAACTCATGTGGAAGTGGGTTAAGCTTCTTAGTGCAGTGCTTTAACCCGCTGCGCCACCAGGGAAGGCCTCCAAACCATTTTTTTAAAAGGACATATTTTAGGACTCAGACACCCCATTTAATCACATGGGTCTTAAGTTACCCATCTTATGTCACATAAACACGTCTGCATCATACTGAAGATTGAACAATTAGGCTTATACATATGTGACCTATTTTGGCACCTAACTGCAAAAAGAATAAGTCTTGGCTATTCAGGTGAGGAAGGCATTTGAACCATAAGGTACCCAAACTCTGAATATCCATCCACATTTGACTCTTGCTTGGCTCCTCTTGTGACATATGAAAACATGCAAAGGAGGAGGAGTGGATCTTAACTTTGTGCAACCCAGAGCTGTGTAGGTTGATCAGGCACTTAATCCTCTCAATTTCACTTTTGCCATTTTGTAAGTGAAGCTAGTACCAGCTCAGATGGCTATTTTAAGCATTAATGTAAAATTTATCTAGTAGCCAATATTGAGAGTCTTTCAAAACATGGTATGTGTTTTGGGTGTCTGATAATGACCGTAAAAAGGGCAAAGAGAAATAGATTCAAAGAATAGCCTAAAGTTGTGCAATCTAGCCATTTCTAACATTTCACCCATGGATCCTGAAACAAAGAGGATAAAGGCATTACTTGGGAAACAGGTCTAAAGTAATATAATTTCTATCCTTAAGGACACAGAAGGCAATTTAAACTATTTAGTCAAAGGTGTCACCTCCCAACCAGCCCTACTACCTCCCTCACCTCCGTGCCATCTCCTTGTTAGCTAACAGAATGTCATGTCTTCATGTTAAAAAGAGCGGTAACTTTTTTACATAAAAATGACACAATAATGTGCAATTACTTTATACGAAACCAACAACAGGAACTGTACAGCTGGGCAGGTGAGCTTCAGAGCTGCATGACTTCACCAGGATCATCTTTGGTTATTTCCACCGGGGTCTGGGGAGGAAAAAGTAGGTCAAGTGGTCTGGCCTAGTGTTTAGGGTGTGGGCCTGGGCTAATAATGCTCCTTATGAAGGACAGGCAGAGGTGGCTGTGTCCCATTCTGTTTGACCTAATGACTCCAACCCCAGTGGCCAGAGGGGCTAAAAGAGTGACAAGAGGCAGGACAAAAAATAGCCAAGATCTAAGGGGAAGTGGGAGGAAAATAAATTTGTCTCCAGAACCATTTTACAGACCAGTGTTCACTTAACAATCAAGTTGTTAGTGTGAGTTGCTGGAGGAGCCTGATTTGGGAAATGCTAATGAAGGCTGAAAAATACAAAATGTCCTAAGTGCAAAAGGACAAGTCACCCCTGTCGGACAGCTTTGACACTGGATCTGATAAAGCTTTACACTTCCAGTTTATTCAAAAGAAACTCAAGAACTTAAAAATTTTCTTTAAAAAACCTGTAGAGGATCACATGAAAGATGAAACTGAATTCTAAGTAGAAATAGTTACAATAACATTTTTTAATAAAGTATTTCTAAAGTTACTAGACTTGGATTTTAACAAGTAGCTCATTTATCTGGGGAGAATACTATTTCAAAGTAAGAAAAGAAGACACAGTCAAAGGCACACTTACCCCTCCTGGGGGATACTTATATCCCTTCCACATTGTTCCTGCAATGAGAAGCATCCATAAGACAACAATCATTGTGGTGTTTCTTGCTTAGCTGCTGGTGTGCGCAGGGGCAAGGGGTGGTTTTGAAAGGTGTGGTGTTTTAGTTCCTGAGTCCTGGGAACAGGGCTGTCTTCATTCCAGACCAGATGGTAAATGGCCCAGCATGATAGGACCTAGCTGCAGAGTTCCGTGGTCTAGTCTGAACTGAAACGGCTCACCATGGCTATTTGCAGGGGCGGGGATGAGGGTGGGGGGAGCAGAGCTCAGACACCAATTGTGACATCAGCTCCTGTGACTTTGGAAACCAGTCAGAAAGAGTAGCTATAGGACAACTAGCCAGAATGCCAGGTGAGTCGGAGCTAAAGACTCCTTATTAGAAGATACCTATTCTCTGCTGACTATGTTGTTAGGGTCTAAGTGGCACCTACTAAAATTCTGACTACTGGCTTTATGCAAAGAAAACATTGACATAAAAACAAACAAAGCCATCCTGTATTAACTGGGAGGTGCAATGGTTATACTATACTACGAGCAATTGTTTTTTGACTATTCAAAGAAGAAATATATCTCATTTTGTAAAATGGCACAGTTAAACCTTCATGGTGCAGGGTAAACCACAACTTTCTCAAGAAAGAAAAATGGACTGAAATGAAATATGTTCATTTCACAGGTGGAGAAATTGAGGCACAGAATGTTTCAATGGTTTGGTCAGCATCACAGTATGACAGTGGCTGCTAAAGTGCCTGGTGCCTCCATTCCCACCCCCAACCCCACAGAGGTCTGTGTTGGGCCAGTGTTCTCATAGAAATTCTGGGCAAGATGGAGAAAAAAAAAAAACAAAAAACAGCCATCAGGCCTTAGTACACCTTGAAGAAGACACTGCCTTCTTGGTAGCTTCCTAGAAAACCTGCATCTGTGATCAGTACATCATTAAGACCCTCAGTTAAGTTTAACAGAGGGAGCATTTCTGAAGAGGTCTGAATGGGATGGGTGGGGATGCAAGAAACCTAGATGTTTGGCTGAAAGGATGCTGCTACTAAAGTTTCCTCTAAGCGGCCAGTCCAAGGGAGTGAGTGTGAAAGGCCATTAAATCCAGATATCTAATCTTGCAGCACAGCTTCACAAGCCATTTGGTTTGTGTGTTCTTGGGTAAATAATTATAGTTGTTGTCAACGGTAAATCTCTGTTAACTGGTTCTTTTTTTCCCCTTAATTTTGAAGTTAGCGTTTACTAAATGATAATTGTCAAGCTTTGTGTCAAATGCTTTTATATGGCTTCCGCATGTAATCTCACAAGAGTGTGAGATATCTCCACTATAGAGATTTAGAAACTAAAGTTCTGAGAGATTAAATATTCCCAAGCTTACATAGATAGGGACAGTTAGGACTTGAACACAAAAACATTAACTCCAGTCTCAGAATCTGCCCAAAGAAACATTAAAATTTCTGGTTGTCAAACAAAGGGTCAGACAAACTAAAACAAAACTTAAAACTGGCCATTGACCAGGCTTTCAGAAGGAGAGGGAGAGTGGTGAAAACAGGTTTAGGGTGAGAACACAATGGACTAGTGGGGGACTATGAGTGCTTTGGTGGAGGGAAGGCCATGGTGAATATACTTGGGTGGTGGTGTGTGTCTGGGCTGGGGGCAGTGGAGAACCCTGTACTGTCAAGACACTACCAAGGATGAAAAACAATGGTACTTCGATAACAATAAAAATGAATTTTAAAAATTCCAGCCAAATTTATTATGTTTCTGAGAAGAAAATTAATTAACAGGAACCATCTGAAAAGAATACAAAAAAGATACTTATGAGAAGTGGTTATTTCTGAATCTCAGCCTGCTATCCTCGGACATTTTGAGCCCTAAGTTCTCTTAAGTACGACCATGTACATTAATCATTTCCATTCCATGCTTATTGTGTTTCCCATATAAATATAAATCTCCACTGCAGGGAGCTACCAAGTTCTCTGGAAATGAAGGAATCCAGCCCCAAAGACCCACCCACCCACTCACAGTTTCACATTTTCATCCAAAGTCCGGGTCCTCAGTCGTGCTTTGTTCTGCTGAACAGGCCACCTCTCTCTCCACTTCAGAGTTGGAGGCTAAATCAGAAAGAAACTTAGAGTTGGCTCCACCTGACCCAGTAGGTAACCTGCCTCTGTATGGTGACTGGAAGGGCTGCTGAAATGTCCCACAACACCTTCCCTTTCCTATCAGCACTGATCCACGTGGCCTGGAATCTGGAAGTCAGGCACGGTATCCAGCTGACCCCTTATAAAGCTGATGCCTTGAAATAAGGGACATGAAGTACCCATGGAGGAGGGTACATAAAAGAAGGGGGAGACTTGAAAGATGTCCCCATGAGGCGGGAAGTAGCCTGGAAACTAACTTTTGTTTCCATGGTATCTTGACTTCTAACTTTCTCATTTGGTCAGAAACCTCAGATGGGGGAAGCTGGTCAAGATGACTACCAGGGGTTACAGGCAGAATCATTACTTACCATGAAATCCGGAAAGGTACCCATGTAACAGGCAAGTCCTACAAAAAGCATCCAGCCAAGCACGATCATGATAAAAAGTAAAATCTCTCAGACACACCTGTACAGTGTTCACCAAGACCTTGGCAAAGGAGAATACTCATGAAACCCTCAGTTGATAGAGGTCTTGCATGTCAGCTCCAGTCCTTAGCTCCAAGGGATCCACGTGTGACTCCCTATTGGAGAAGCTGGAGTCTAGTAGGCTATTGTGACATCACCAGTCAAGTGGCCCAGATTTAGCACAGGTCAGAGATCCTACCCAAGGACAGGGTAGGCTAAGCGGCAAGCCAGACTCCTTGTATGATTGTATTTCTCACAGCAACAATATGAGGTCAGTACTCTTATCAGCCCCCTTTCACTAATGAGAAAACTGAGGCTTACTGTATTTAGTGACTTGCATTAGAGTTCACAGTTGATGTTCCAGATCAGGGCAGGATGTAGGGCTCAGTGCCTGCTAGGATGTTGGGCTCTTCAGAGACAGGCCTTTGAGTGTGTGTGTGTCCCTAGGTCTGTGACAGCTGTGAATGGAATTAACTGCATTCTAGGGAAATTCGAGGTGTCCTTATATGTCACGACACATGTGTGTGTGTCTTCTACCTCAAGGGCTCATCACCATCTTATTTTTATGAAGTGATTCTTGGACACCTTTGATTACTTCCTCCCCACTGGTTCTCTTTTCTTAGCTTTCAAGAAGCCACAGGTTTTCTTGTCCTTTCTTTCAAAAACCTCCAACTGCTGCAATGGCTCCCTCTTACCTGTTTCATTTCTTTTTATAATTAAACTTCTATATCAAAAGCCTGTCTTTCTCCCAACACACCTCTTTTCTTCTTGCAATACATTCTGACTTCTGGGCCCCATCCCAATATTTACATGCTATGTCAGGGGTCAGCAAAGCTCAGGTTTGTAAGATCTGGTTGAGGTGTATTTCACAGGTACTTATCCCTTCAATACTTCCCTCTCTGCCCCATGTCCTGTCTCATGGCTTCCATGAGACTTGCTCACACTAGTTTCTTCACAACACAACAATCAAACGTAATTCTTTTAAGATTCCTATCATATCACCCAAAGGACACAAAAAACAATAATTCAAAAGGACACCTGCACCCTTATGTTTATTGCTGCCCTATTTACAACAGGGAAGATGTGAAGTCAACCCAAATGTCCAAAAATAAATGACTGGATCAAGATGTGTTGTGTGTACACACACACACACACACACACACACACACACACACACTGGAATATTACTCAGCAATCAAAAAGATAAATTCATGCCTTTTGCGACAACATGGGTGAAGGAAAAGATCGTGTTTTGTGAAATAAATGAGACAGAAAAAGAAAATTACTGGATGGTTTCACTCATAGTGAAACCATGGGGGTGGAGGGTACCTTTCTGGATTTCATGGTAAGTAAGCCTCAGTTTCTCATTAGTGAAAGGGGGCTCATAAGAGTACTGACCTCATATTGTTGCTGTGAGAAATGCAGTCATACAAGGAGCCTGGCTTGCTGCTTAGCCTACCCTGTCCTTGGGTAGGATCTCTGACCTGTGCTAAATCTGGGCCATTTGACCGTAACTGTAATAAAGTAAAAAACATCAACTAACAACTATAAACTAGAGAGGAGAGGGGAACAAGATCAAAACTGGGGTGGGAAGAGCACATGGGACTATGGTGATAACACAGAGGTGACACGGTGGTGGGAAGTCTAAGGAGATTACAACTGAGATGAAAAAATGTGCAAAATTAAGAATAATATAAAAAACATACTTATAAAAAAAACCTATCCTATCATTCCTATGTTTAAAGGCCTCCGAATGCCTCCCTTTTTTTCTTACAGTAAAAAACTGAGTTATTATGGTGATGGCACACGGGTAACTTGGTGATGGGAAACCCGTGGGGACTACAATTGAGATGAAAAAAAAAAGTAAAAATGTAAAATAAACTGTTATAAAAAAAAGTCTGAGTAAGAAAAAAGCAGCCTTTAACATCTGGGAACTGATCTGATCCAGCTAGTTCTCAGTGTTGTCAAAAGCTGGCTTAGCACTCACAGAGAGGCCAAGTTATTTTCTTTTTGGATATAAAAGAATTGCACAAAAACATCAACATCAGACAGGCTCACTCGGACCACAATAAAATGAGACAAGACAAGATTACTTCATAATTTGTCTAAGCAGAGATGACAAAAACATCATTATACAGTCCAAACCCCAAACATCCTCTTCTCTCTGCTAATCTGAGTGCTGCAGCTTTACCAATTACAGCTTTACCCTTACTCAGTCTGGCCATCTTCTATGTATTGAGACACCCAATCACAGCACAGTCCCTACTTTCTGACAGCACCCAATCTAAAAGAAAGCCTTGTTTCCTTGAACCCTCCCCCAAATCACCCAAAGCCCATATGCTATAATAGGCTTTTTCAAACACTTTCCTACTGAGCTGACCCAGTTGCTCTTTATAGCATCTGCTCCCTTGCTGCAAGGAGTAATCAAAGCACCTTGGTTACCTACAGGTGACTCCTCCTACCGTCTTGGCCGAAAGGCACTGACATACAGGTCACAGTGGCCTATAAAACCCCCTACCAGTTCTCAGACTTTAGGCATTTGTATTACCTGGAAGTCTTGTTAAATCAGATTATCCAAATTCCATCCCAAGAGTTTCTGGTTTCCAATTCGATGTCTGGGGTGAGGCCTTAGATTCTGTATTTCTAACAGTTTCACAATTAAACCGAGTCTATGTCTGGGAAGACTCTAGAAGGATCACTTCCCTAAACCATCTATGTGCATTCCTATTTCTGTCTTAGCATTTCTGCTTCCTCACCTCTTATTTCTTTCCTCTGGAGCAAGGAGTAGGTCTCCTTGCTGCTTTTGAGTCTCCCCAAGCTTCCATCCACCCTCCTAGGGATTTTGCTTTGACTGCCCTCTAATAGCTAAGGAATTCTCTCACCTCTCAATGAGAGTTGAGAGATCTCCTTACCCTGCCTTTAAAATATTTTCCCCAACAGAATGGGATCAAAAATGGGGAAGGGGGTTGCGGGGGAGAGAGTGCACGGGAATATGGTGATGGCACATGGGTGATTTGGTGATGGGAAGACAAGGGGATTACAACTGAGATGGAAAAAGGCACAAATGATGAAAAATAAACTATTATAAATTTAAAAATACGTATTGTCCCCAACAATCTCCTAACATTCAGTAAGCTTTACTTATATATTTTTCTCATCTACTAATAAAAGAACGACAGCCTTATACAGTTATTATTTTTGTCTGTTTTGTTCACTGTGGTGTCTTCAGATCTAGAAAAATACCTAGCAAACAGTCAATGCTCAACACAGTTTTTTGAATGAGTAAATGTTCCTTCCAGTTTTTCACTTTTCCTGTGTCGCAGCATTCCTGCCTTTGGCTCTTCCTATAAATTCAATAGCCCTCCTGCCCACCCTCGACCCCCAAACCTCTTGACCACTGGATCCAGCTCCTACCATTTTTTTAGGCCCACTGGACCAAGCCAGGGAAACAAAGCAGGTAAGTAACTCCAAAGTCAAGAAGGTCAAAGACAGAAAACCCTATCTCTTCATCTTCCTTTCCCAGATTACTTTATCCGCCAATCTACATCTTCTCCTATTTTAAACTTTTTTTTTTTAACCCGGATTTCCCCACTTGCCACCAATAAGGCTTTGGCGCCGCCTAGCCGCATCACCCTCATCTAGTGGTCCTAGCTCCCAGTTCTCAGCCAAGGCTCCACCTGACTCGGTTTTCCGTTTCTAGGACCTGAAGTTCTGCTGTTGAAGATCCATTACCTCTTCCATGCTAAATCCAACTGCAATTTTCAGTCTTGGCCTTTCTCGAACCTCTGCTGAATTTCATACATCATACATCCTTCCAGAAACTCTTCGAGAACAACGCAAGTTGCTTCTTCCTCCTGGACTGCTTCTGTCCTCTGTGATTCCTATTCTTCTCTTCGCAGATGTCCCCAACTTTCCTTCCAGCATATCGGGTCGTGGTTCCCTCGGCGTTCAAGGGTTTCTGCTGACGCTCCGTTTTCGCGCTGAGTCGCTTCCACTCGGGGTGGAGCTGCGGCCGGAGATGCTGCAGTGAAGGCGAGTTGACCTTCCAGTCCGGGAAGGGGCGGGGCCCTGGGCCGGGAACTTTGGACCTCGGCGGCCCCCGTCCAAGCTTCAACGCGGAAGAAGGTGCAGGGGGACCGGGTTTGGGCACCTGGCTAGATATGGAGTTCGACTGCGAAGGTCTGAGGCGGCAGCTTGGCAAGGTGTGGGCCGCCCACTGGGCCGGGTCTGGGGTCAGGGGGTCTCCGGGATAGTTCCCCGGCTCATCCAGGGCTCGGGTCGGGCTGGGCGGGCGTGGAGCCCACTACCTGGAATGGCCTTAGGGGGGCAGAGGGGGTGCTTGGAAGCGGCGCTCCCGCTCCTGAGTCCCGGGCCCAGCTCCGTCGGTAACTCCCTAGGACCCCAACTTCTACCCGGCGTGGGACCTCACGCCACCGGGTTCTCTGATCCCCAGCATCTCCCAGCTTTCCCTCTTCCTTGGCTGCAGTGCTCATCCGCGGTAAGACTCAATCACAGGCCGCCGGCTAGAAGATGGAATCGCTGCTTTCTCTGCTTTCAGAAATGCCGGTTATCCCATTGTAGAATAATTATTTACAGGACTTTCTCCTGCTGTGAAACCTCCGATGGCTGGTGGCCGACAAGGTGCTTCATCTGGCACTGGGCCTGACCACAGTGGAGGTGCTAAGTAAATGTGCAGTGGATCGGAGACCAAAGTAGATTTAGGAATGAAGACAGAACTTGAAGGCTCAGAGGAGAGCCTCTTAATGTTGAAAAGTTGGGTGGGAGGGCTGACTCAGAAGTCTGGGGCTTGCCTGACTCCAGTTTCCAGGCTCTCGGATTCTCCACGTTAGTTGGAGGCCGCCCCCTTTGCCACCAGTTTCCTAGCTAAATGATTTTCAATGATTCTTAAAAGTTCCCCCACGAAGAAACCATTTATTTGCTCCATTTCAACTGGATGTGACTGTGTCTTTTGTTGGAACAATGTGTTAAACCTGTACGGTATTTTGAAGATTCGTGACTGAAGTCAGTGTGGGCTCCCTCCAAATTTATAAGTCAATGCTTCCAATGAAAATTCCAACAGGTTATTTTGGGAAATTTTCAGACTGATTCTAAAATACATTTGGGAGGGAAGAAGGCCAAAAATAATCTTGGTTTCTTACATAGAGGAAGAGTAGGTATGGGAACTTGCTGTATACCAGATGCTAATTAAGATTTAGTAAATCATTGGTGTAAAATTGACAGATAGCAAATGGAGCAGACTCAGGGCATAGAATCATATTCACCCGTGTTTGCAATCACAATATAAAACAAGAGGGATTGCGGATTAACTACACAAAGGATGTAGGGACAGATGATTCAATTTAGGAAAAATGAAATGAGATCCTTACTTTTACTCCTTCTATTATAGATTTAAATGTAAATGGACCTCCCTTGTGGTGCAGGGATTAAAGAGACAAGGCCACCAAGCTATTGCCAGTCACTGCAGCAGGAGTCCATCCCCAGCTGGCCAGGGAGCTGACCCACCTGGTGCAGCAGACCTCTCCTGTCTTGTCTGATGCTCCCTTAAGCTGTATCTTTCAGTGCATCTGCCTGTTCAGTTCCCCACTCTCTCTGGTGAATCCTCTCATCCCCTTCCACCCAGTTCTTGTATGCATAAATAAATCTTTTTTTTAAAAGATTTAAATGTAAGAGAGAAACTTTGAAACATAAATGTCAGCAATAAAATGGACTCAGTATGGAAACATATTTTGAACAAGACAATATTGATTGATAAATTTGACTACATTCAAGTTAAGTGCTTCAGTATCAAAAGATTCATAATGAGAGTGAAGAAGCAAAATACAAACAAAAAATCTGTAATACTACCAACAAATTATTAGTACCAGAATACATAAAGTATGTCTAAAAGTAAATATTAAAATTAAATTGGACAGACATGAATAACCATGGAAAAGCAAATGAAGACCACAGTAAAACACCATTTGCTCTCACCTGATTGGTGTAAGTTAACATCACATAATTTGGAAACTGAATGAAATTTCAAACTCTGTTGGTGGTTAATTAGTAAATTAACTATTCAGGGAAACAATTGGCTTTATTAATTTGACTATGTTTTATGTTTATGTTTAGATAGATACAATAGAAAATTCAGAATACATCCAGTGGGAGATACTGTTGAATTATTCATAACTAAAAAATAGAAACAACCTAAATATGCATTTACAGAGAAAGAATTTGTTGTATATTCACATAGTGGAAAACACTACTATGCAGAAGTAAAAATGAGTGAACTATAACATGTAATGATGCAGAGGAATCTTAGAAACATTATATTTTGTGGAGAAAAAAAAACAGGTTACATACAAAATTATGTCTGAAAAAGCCAAGGAACAAAATGAAACTATTTTCATAATATGTTATTTAAGGACAAACATGATAAAATTATGATGGCTATAAGCAAATGAATGAATATACATTTCAGAGAAGAATGTGAAGTAGGAGAGAGGCATTAGATGGGATTAGGTTTGTAGCCATTAGCCACAGGTGGCTATTAAATTCACCAGAATTAAAATTAAAGTTTCTCAGTCACACTAGCCATATTTCAAATGTCAGTAGCCACATGTGACTTATGACTGCTTTATTGGATAGTGTGCATATAAGTTTCCTATCAAGGTAGGAAGTATTATTGGCCATACTGTTCTAGTTCTTAAGTGGGTGGTTTGATTCATGTTTATTCCTCAAGATGTATGTGTTGTACAACTTAGAAAATTTCTCAGGTACTCTAATTCTTATTTCAAACTCCCCTTACTATGTTACCTTCAACAACCGAAATTACCTTCAACAACATAAAATGATAAGATTGAACTTGATGTATAGAATCCTTTTTAAAAAGTTTTTATGAAGTGTTGCTCAAAATATTCTTCATTGTGTTCTACATTTGAGCAATGTCATACAAGAGTATTTTTGTTCCTAAGTTTAATCTACTGAGTAAACATTCTGTAGCAGATAGTTAAAATTTTAATAACTTCCAAGTTCTTAAGTCTTGCTGATTTTTATAACAATATAATTGCTCTAGTTTTAGAATCTTGTGAGTCAGTTTTTCTTCTAAGGTGAAGTCTGCACCTTTTGTGCAGTTGACATTGTCTTAGAGAGTGTCATGCAAATTTATTTTGGGTGATACAAAAACAAGGAATCTATTCAATATGACTTAATAGTACACTAAAACTATTGTTTTATATATAGTGATAGTAATTTTTTTCAGGACAGATAAATACATCTTTTTTTAAAAAAAAAACATCAAAAAGGCAAATATTTGACTAGTGGTAACATTTGGATTTTCAAACTCTAATGAGTGTTTTTGTTTATTTTGATAAACTCTGACAGCAATTTTACAATTACATAAAACTTTTACCTATCCATATATAGTCATTAAGTGGTACAGAATGTTAAAGACCTAGAAAATATCTTAAAATATTAAGTAGAAAACAAAGTTTCTGTTATAGTCAATATATTTATTACAGGTGATATAGCCTTCTGTATATTTGTGTAGTGTTTAGAGTTCGGATGATTTCATTCACTTTAGGTTACTCTGAAGCAGGGACACTGAATCTGGGACACACTTAATCCTGATCAATTCTTAGTTGTAATTGTTTTGTGGTTTATATCTTTATTATTATGATATGCTCATTTTTCTCTTTTCAGTACAAGTTCAGGGATCTAACTGTGGAAGAACTAAAGAATGTAAATATGTTTTTCCCACACTTCAGATATTCCATGGATACCTATGGTAAGAACTATATCTTCTAGTTTTTGCTATGTTCTTTAAACTGTTATTTGTTCCTCAAAAACTACAAAATTATAATTTATTTCTCTTTTATCCTTATTTTGAGTTACACCTTATGATCTGTGGTTTCTGAGGAAATGTAAATTAATACAGTTTATATTGTATTGATTTTCTGTTGCTGTCATAACAAATTAGCATAGACTTAGTGGCTTAAAGCCAGACAACTTACCACCTTACACTTCTATAGGCTGGAAGTCCAATACAGTCTTGCAGATTAGAGGTTTGGGTTAAAATCAAGGTGGTGTTGGCCCTCCCTCGTGGTGCAGCGGGTTAAAGCACAGCACAAGAAGCTAAAGCCACTTCTGCATGAGTTTGATTCTCGCCTGCCCCAGAGGTGACCACATGGCGTCAGACCTCTCCTGACCCGCCTGTCTCTCCCCTCAGCAGTGTACTTCGTCGATCTGCCTGTTCTGATCCCTACTCCGTCTCTGGTGAAGCCTCTCGCCACCCCTGAGCCTCTGGCCTGTACCCCAGTTCTGTATGCACAAATAAATAAATCTTTAAAAAACAAACAAACAAACAAAAAACTCTGGGAAGTCACCAGACATTTAATTCTTTCTGGAGGCCCTGGGGGAGAATCTATTTCCTTGCCTTTTTTAATTTTTAAAGATCACCCATGCTCTTCTATGGGTCATCTCTTCACTCCATCCAAACTCAGCAATATTGCGTCTCTCAGGCCACCCCTCTGTAGTCAAATCTTCCCCAACTAGAAAAGACCCCTTGCTTTTAAGGATCAGTGTGGTTAGATTCCCTCATCTCAGGATCCTTACCTTACTTGTATCTAAGTAGAAATAATGGTACTTAGAGGTTACATGTGTTTCTATATCTAGTCATCTGCCTGCATGCACTCTAGTAAAGTTCTTCCTACTTAACTTGGGGCTTTTTTCTTTCAGTTTTTAAAGATAGTTCCCAGAAAGATCTACTGAATTTCACCGGTACTATTCCTGTGATGTATCAGGGTAAGTGTGGATATTGAGAAAATGAGAATTTTCTAAAAGAATTATTTAATAAGAACTTACATCTTTTAAATGCTATAACATTCTCAATGTTTCATATACATGTGACCCAATCAGAACCTGATTGGATGTAGGAAAATACTCTTCCAGGTAAGGAAAAGATAAATTAATGTCAACAAATTCAGTTCATCTGCACATATATTTATTGTCAGTTATGTGCCCACTTCTCTGCTAGGTGCTGGAGTAAAGAGGAAAGCAAGGCAGACGTAGGCCCTCTCTTGTAGAAAGTTACCTCCGCTTTCCTTAACAAACTGCAGGCTCCCACCTTCTCCTCCAATACATTTGTGTTTGTTAACCTCTAGAAAAAGAGGCAAAAAGAATTCTTATTCATCTAACAATAGATCACTTGGCTGATTTCATAATTCTTACCCATCCCAATGATTTCAAGGGTCTTCGCATAGTAACAGAGGTGTTTATGAGTCATTGCTTAGTGCAGTTTCTGGCTCAGTTTGCGGGAAATGACAAGAGGGCACAAGTGTGACCTCAGCATCACTAGTAAGCGGCCCTTCTTTGACCCCCTTTACTGTTGGATCTTATGTGGGCCCTCCACGGTAGTGATGGTACCTGCATTATCTTTTGTTTTGCAGCACACTTTTCTTTTAATGCAAATTGTCTCAACTCAGTGTGATGCACACTGGTTATTTTTGCTCATCAGAGATTAGCATGTATTATCTTCCTCATCTCTAAATGGCCCAATTATAGAACCTTATTTATAGAATTACAGGGATTAAATGAATTACTAAAAGTAAAGCTCGAGGCATAGTGCCTGACCAGTGAGTGCTCAGTCATGAATGTTGTCTGTTGCTTGTTGTAGGCCTATATTACTTTCTGTTAATTTGTTGGTATAATACAACACTCATGCTAAAAAAATCTGAACATTTGAGGCCCTCCCTGGTGGCGCAGTGGGTTGAAGCGCAGCACTGAGAATCTGAAGCCACTTCTGCATGAGTTCGATTCCCGCCTGCCCCGGAGGAGACCACATGGCGAGCCAGACCTCTCCTGACCCGCCCGCTGCTCCCCTCAGCAGTGTACTTCGTCAGTCTGCCTGTTCTGCTCCCCACTCTGTCTCTGGTGAAGCCTCTCACCGTCCCTGAGCCTCTGGCCTATACCCCAGTTCTGTATGAATAAATAAATAAATCTTTAAAAAAAAAAAAAAATCTGAACATTTGAGAAGGGATGAGGTTAAGTTGTCTCTAACCTCTCACCATGTCCTGTTCCCCAGGTGAATTTTCTGTTGCTATTTCCCTATTTGCAGAAATTTTCTGGATTATTTACTATCCCTCCAAGATTGTGTCAAGGTTGTGATGATATTTTTTCTTCATCCACCGTTATTTAGAGAGGTGTGTATCATGATACCCATCTAAATTTCATTTACATCTAACTTCTATGGTTATGCCAAAATTAAGTCTAACAAAGGTTAACTAACAAAGGACTCTAACAAAAATTTTGACTCCTTGGAAATAAATTACTGAAAGCTAAATGTATAGAGTAGGGAGCAAGGCATTTACTGACAGAAAAGAATGAGAAAGAAGGAGGGATGAAGAGATTGGAGAACACTACTTATGAAATAATACAGTTAGAATGGAGGCCTAGCTCACCAGCTGCCTGCCAGCCGTGGACTATTAAAAGTGTCTGAATACTGTTTGGAAGGGACATGCACGGAGGCAGGAGATCCCTGATCAACCAGAAGGATACCTTTAGTTATATTTCTTTACTTTAATATGTAGTGTTTTAACACGGAAAAAAAAACCTCCTGGGATTTGGGCTACTGCTCCAATCTTGGGAAACAACAGCAAAAATTTACATGGCCTAGAACACTGGCATTGTTTTTATAGTGATCCACAGTCAAAAATACTTTTATATAGCTAGCTAGCATATATATGTATATGTAGGTAACTGAATACCATACTACTGTCATATAGGGTATTTTCAGTTAAATTTCATGTATAAATATTTTCAGTCTACTAAATCAATTCCATGATCCATTTGTGGTTAGCAACATTTGAAGAACACTGGTCTAGTGTTATACTAGACCAGAGTTACACTAGACAGAATAACTTCTAGAGAAATAGAATTGTATGTCTCTATACCTTGTGATATCAATCACTTTGTAGTGCTGTTATCACATGACTTTGTAATCGTGGAGTTATCTATAGACCAATAGCCATTTTCTGTGGGTCCCCACTGATGGTGCTTTAGATTTGTGGCAGGCTTTTGGACCTTGCTTTGGGCCAATCCTATTTGGCTGGTCTTTTACCCATGAGGGGATGGATAACATTGGGTGTTTGATTTGAAAACTATATTTTTTGTCTTTTCTTTGTTGTATACTAATTATATTAAAGTTCCTTCCCATTAAAGGTCTTACATGTTTTATCTTGATGCAGTGGATGGCAGAACCAATTTAGAGAGGGCAGGGTTAGGGGTTTTGGAGTGCTGCTCTCCCTGCCCTGTAACAAGACCTATAAGCAAATAACTTCAGTACAGAATAAGTATGCAAGTAGAAGTATCCACTACCTTTCAAGAAAAATGCAGTAATTCTGCTTGGGTGGAACACAGATTACATAGAGAAAATGTTGTATCCCAAACTCCTCATGCAGTAGCTTCTGTAAATACTTATGAATTAAATTGAATGAGCTAGCTATTAGTTAACTCTCCTGTAGTGTTAAACTGGTGTGTTAAGTGAGAACCTATTTCTAGTGTGAATATGGATGAAGTAGGGGAAATAAACTGATTTATATAAAAATGTTTGTGTATAGGCTTGACTGGACTACATGTGTCTTAAGTTGTCACTGACCTCTAACATTAAAATGTGTATTTCCTTATTGTTTGAAGATGTGTTTATTTTGTCCCAAATAGGTAATACATATAACATACCAATTCGTTTATGGATTTTGGATTCTCACCCTTTTGCTCCCCCCATTTGCTTCTTAAAGCCAACTGCTAATATGGGCATCTTGGTTGGAAAACACGTGGATTCTCAAGGCAGAATATACTTGCCCTATCTTCAAAACTGGAGCCATGTAAGATCAGTTTGGATTTTCTTTAAAAAATTATTTTTCTGAATATTGATCTTCGATCCCATAGTACAAATAATGAATTTTAATGAATTTTCTTTCAGTGATATTTTTCATATGGCCTTTTAAAATGATTTGAAAAGAGCTCTCTGAGGTCACACAAGTTGCAGAATCCTGATGGGGGCAGCCTTCATGATGAAGCTGCTCTCCAGGTCTGAAAGTCTGCCAGGTCTTTTCAATTTACTGCTTTATAAAGCACATGAAAAGATACTAACTAGGTACTGGGCTTTATTTCCTAGCCTCTCCCTACTAAAACTTCTTATATCGTATATGTAGGTATATATACTTTTGACTGTTTTTAACCTTCCTGGACTTCGGTTCATACTGTATATAATCTGTGTTACATGCTTTAACTAAGATTTAAGTCTTTAAAGTTCACCCATGTTAAAAAAGTATGGAGGGCCCTCCCTGGTGGCACAGCGGGTTAAAGCACAGCACTGAGACACTAAAGCCACTTCCGCATGAGTTCAATTCCCGCCTGTCCTGGAGGTGACCACATGGTGTGGCAGACATCTCCTCACCCGCTGCTCCCCTCAGCAGTACTTCATAGATCTGCCTGTTCTGCTCCCCGCTCTGTCTCTGGTGAATCCTCTCACCCTCCACATCTCTGGCCTGAACCCAGTTCTGTATGAGGAAATAAATGAATCTTTAAAAAAAAAAAAAGTATGGACACTTTAATAATGTTTACTATGGAGAAATGCTCAATAAAATGGTAAATGTAAATTGTAGAATACAAAACCTGAGGATTTGAATAACAAAAAATGAGTTATATATATCAACATGGGTGAATTTTAACTAACCTGTTTATACATACAGAACTGGGGTAAAGGCCAGAGGTGCAGGGGCAGTGAGAGGATTCACCAGAGACAGAGTGAGGAGCAGAATAGGCCAACTGATGAAGTACATTGCCGAGGGGAGCAGCGGGCAGGTCAGGAGAAGTCGCCACACCATGTGGGTCACCTCTGGGGTAGGGATTGAACTCATGCTGAAGTGGCATTAGCTTCTTAGTGCTGTGCTTTAACCCGCTGCACTACCAAGGAGGGCCCCTTATTTGTATTTTTTAGCAACATTTTTGTATTTATTTTACAGCCTAAATCTGTCATTGTTGGATTAATTAAAGAAATGATTGCCAAATTTCAAGAGGAACTTCCCCTGTTTTCTCTGTCATCTTCTGATGAGGCACGGCAGGTAGACTTGCTCGCCTACATCACAAAAGTCACTGAAGGTTTGTATTTCCAGTCATCAGGAGCCTATCTCTGCTATTTGATTTCTATAAGTTCTTGCATGTGTATGCATCTATGTTGAGTAAAAAATTCCTATACAGGGGCCTCCTTTCTGGTACAAGAGGTTAAAGCGCAGCACTATGAAGCTGTCCTTAGCCACTGCAGCACAAGTTGGATCCTCTCACCCCTCGCATCTCTAGCCTGGACCCCCGTTCTTATATGCATAAATAAATAAATCTTTAAAAAAAATTCCTATACATTTATCATAGTTGTTACCATGTAGTTGCAGTTAATATTATTTCTCAGGATGTAAAATACTACTCTAACACTGACTGATAAGCTAATTTATCTTTTGTTCACAACTTGGTAATATAGTTAGGATCCCAAACTTTTGTTATATGTTTATGTGTTTTTTTGCTTCATTCAAAAAATACATATGATTTTTTTTTTTCTTGAAAGATGTATTTATACATACAAGAGCTGGGGTGTAGGCAGAGGTGCAGGGATGGGGGATAAGTGAGAAGATTCACCAGAGGCAGAGTGGGGAGCAAAACAGGATGACTGATTGAAATACACTACTGAGAGGAGCAGTACGTAAGACAGGAGAGGTCTGCTGCGCCATGTGGGTCACCTCCCTAGCCAACTCATCCTGCACTGGTTTTTGACATCTTCATGGTGCTGACACTTAACCCCTTGTGCCACCAGGAAGGCCTGAAATACTTATCATTCTAAAACAAAATACCCATGCTTGCAAAATTTAGTAAAGCATTTTTTTTTTTTGCACTGCATACCAGAGCAGTTTCATAATTATGGAACTCCTGTTTTTTAGCTTTGTGTGTAATATTTTTAAATACTTAGAAAGATGCTTTTTAAAGAATAGCCTCTATGTAGTAGACTGTTTAATGAGATTACTGTCACTTTCATTTGTTCAATAAATATTTTTTGAGTCCCTATCATGGACTGGCACCATGTTTTCTGTCGAACTTATTGAAGCTTGTTGATTTTTTTATTAAAGATGTTAAAAATGATTCTTGATATTTTAAAATTCTCACGTTAATTCAACTTTCTTTGTAGGTGTCTCAGACATAAATCCGAAGAACTGGGCAAATCATGAGAATAAAATGGTCAATAAAATTACTGTGGTTGGAGGTGGGGAACTGGGAATTGCCTGCACATTAGCAATTTCAGCAAAGGTATGTAAGCATAGGTTTTATAAATCTATCTATCAAAATCTTATACCTGTAAGCATACAAAAGTAGTAGCTTCATTTTTGTCATTGCTGGAAAACCTCATTTTGCTTTAAAATATATTTAGTAAGTTGACAAAAAACTAAAAGCATTCATCATGATGTTGCTTTTAATTAGGCTTTGAAAAAGTGGTTTGCACAGTGGGGAAACCATCACCATCCTAATCTTAAGGAACCTCAATTTGACATTCATCTGACTTAGTCACAAAACCTTTTCTATCTTCTGTGTTATGTCATTTTAATTAAACTCTTATTTAATAAAATACTTAATTTTAGCTCTTTCTAAAATAAGTATTTTCTAAAATTGATTGCCTTTTCTGGTATGATACTTCTGTTTCTTTTAGGATTGTCGTTCCTGATTTGATAGTTTACATTAGCTCGAAATTTGACTATTTCCTCGTCAATCCTTTTCCCCCAGACTTTCCCTATACAAATTATTTTCAGTCAGGCTTAAATTCCCTTCCAGAGAGGTTCAAAAGCCCTTCCAAGGCCTAGTAATATGGTATGTCTCTGTTATTTGAGGCATGTAAACCAGAATACAAAAACTTACTCTGTATGTTTGTTTGATAGCTAGCATTTTGGTTTTTCTACAAAAACTTGACTGTTTTGCCACCTAAAAATTTCTCTTTCCATTTAAGACTCCTATTTTGGATTGTACCCAAGAAACTAGAAAATTTTAAAAGTTGGCTGCTCAGAATAATATGTGATAACTTTGGACATAGAGTTTGATTTCCTCTACCGTCCAGGTAGCTGAATAAATATACTGTTTCCTTTTAATTTGAATTTGAATTGTTTTCAGTTCTTTTGTTACTAAATAGAATGCTTCTATAAACATTGCTTTACAAGTTGATTATTTTCTTGTCTGAATTTTTTTTAGAAGCACATAATCTCAAAAAAGAATGTCAGGGCATGAGTGGTTTTTATAGCACTTATTGTATATTAGTACACAGCTCTTCAGAAAGGCAGAACTAGTGTATGTTATTAATAATAATGTTCACATTAGCCTGATCTTTTTTTTAAAGATTTATTTATTTATGAGTACAAGAACTGGGGTACAGGAAAGAGATGCAGGGCGGGGTTGGTGAGAGGATTCACCAGAGACAGAGTGGGGAACAGAACAGGCAGATGTGGGTCACCAGGGAAGCCTCAGCCTACTCTTTTATATTCCTAAAATTATTGAATTTTTAAAGAAAAAAACTTTTTTTGGGTAAATGTAGGCAGATATTTTAAGTTATGTTTCTTTGGCTGTTAGAAGAGTCTCATCAGTATTTATAAACTCTCTGGATGGAAAATGTTTTCCTTTTAAACACTAATATGTTGTTACAAGTATTCAAATGATGCAGCAATATTCAAACAATGAAGTAATATTCAAATAATCAAAACAATGGCAATAACAGTGTTAACAGTTGTAACCTCACTGAGTGCTTACTTACTAGTCCTGGGCACTTATCTAAACACTGACTCATTTTTACAACATTGTGATTTATTGCTATGATTAATTCCATTCTATAAATGAAACCAAGGCAGAGATGACCAACTCGCCCATGTCACACTATTCAGGAACCAGGATTTGAGGCTTGACAATCTATTTTCAGAGCTGAATCCTAGTTTCTTACTATTCAAAGTGTGACTTCAGAGCAGCGGCACTTGAATCACTTGAGCTTTTCTTAGAAGCTCACCTAGACTTACTAATATAAAATCTTCATCTTAAAAAATCTCTGGTGGACCCTCCCTGGTGATTAAAGCATAGCATTGCAAGCTGGCTACAGCTGCTTCAGTGTGAGTTCGATCCCAATCCCCAGCCCAGGAGGTGACCCATATGGTGTGGCAAACCTTTCCTGTCTCGCCCTCTACTTCATCAGTCTGCCTGTTCTGCTCCCCACTCTGTCTCTGGTGAATCCTCTCACCGCGCCTGTACCTCTGCCCTGTGCCCTAGTTCCGTATCCATTAAAGTTTGAGAAACTATAAGCCACCATGTATGTTACACTCTCATAATTATTATTATTATTGATGGGCATTTAGGTTGTTGCTAGTCTTTTGAATGTGTTTATAAATATTATGTCATTTTACACATCAATAAACTTGTAGGATAGCATCTATAAATAGGATTGATGGATTGAAGGAGTTACTGCGTTGCAAAATTTTGATATAAATTGTCTAGGTATTTCACATATCACTTGTACCAGTTCATTTTCATACCCAAAGTATATGAGAATAGCTGTTTTCCCACACTACTGTTAAACTTTTGGATCCTTGCCTATTTGAAACATGAAAGTGACGACTTGAAGTTTTCTTTGCATTTCTCTTAAACTTGATTAGCAATAATGCCAGTCAGCACTGTATCACCATAATTACTCGACACAGCTACTTGAGGTAAGACCAAGTTCAGTGATTTACCCAGCATTATAGAGCTAATAGTTTATATGACTGGGTTGTTGTTGTCTTCAATGATTCCCGCCTGATAGGCTAGTAGATCCATGGGTACTTTGGCCTCCAAACTCTAAGGTAGGAATGATTTATAGGTTCCTTCTTTGAAAAATAAGACCTTCTAAAAAAGTAAGGTGACTCTTGGTAGTTTCAGTGCTGACATTACAATGCCTTTACAGTTTCTATGCATCTAGGTACCCAGGATGTAGTATTCTACATGTATAGAATATTTTTCATGAATTATCTGTAGAAAAAATTTTAGATTTATGGCTGTTGTTTCTTTGTTTTTTCATAAGAGAAAATTAGCTTTAGTGTAGAAATTATGTGCTAAACTACACTAAAAAAAGTAACTCAATTCTTTTATAATGGAAATGATGACACCAGAATGAATACATAAACTCAAGAACAATAGCAAGCATAGTGATTGTACCAAATTATTTTTATTACGCATTATCAATGGAAACCTGCAGTCTGTGACTTCTGTGTTAACCCTGCCAGATCTCAATTTGCAGTCAGACCTAAAGGATCACATTATTCAGGTTCATCATAACTGCTTGCTCTTTCCTTTTATTGTTATTGTGTTGCTTTTCCTTTATAAGGTAGCACATGAGGCCTGTGAATTCTGGCTTGATCCTCACTTCTGAATGAATTTAAATTGAGTAACTTGCATGTCCAATATAATGCTGTCCTTTTTTTTTTTTTCCTTAATTGTTCTTATAGGGTATTGCAGACAGACTAGTCCTCTTAGACCTCTCAGACGGGACTAAAGGAGGGACAATGGACCTTGACATCTTCAACCTGCCTAATGTGGAGATCAGCAAAGGTCTGGTTATTCTGCCTCAAAGATGTTTGCCTTGTTTGCTGTCTTACATTTGAGTCTAGAATTATTTTTAACTAGTAAGATTTTTGAGAAGTTTTAGTTCATAGCAATATTAAGCACCCCACCCCTACATGTCTTTAACCTCCCCACTGTCAACATTCCTCAGGAGAGAGGTATTATTGGGGAACCTTCCTTGACACATTATCATCATCCAAAGTCTGTACTGTACATTAGGGTTCACTTTTGGTGTTGCACATTCTATAGACATGGACAAATCTACAGTGACATGTGTCTGTTCTTATACTATTATACACAGTAGTTTTGATACCAGGAAAACAACAATCAGGTCCTTGTTGCCTGCCCCTGCCAACCCAATAAGCAAAGATAGAGATTTAAGCTTTTAACTCATGTTCTTTATTCAGCTTTGCCAGCAAATCTGAGAATGGCCAGTCATCACTCCCTAAAGAAACCATTCTTACACCTTATCGCTAGCTGGCTGTTTTATCAATATAAAAAACAAAGGCAGTTAATTCAGTGACTAGGCTTTCACTCCAAGTATTTAACATCTCTGAATTTGTGGAGCTGTTTCCCCACAGTTCCCTCTCCTCAGGCAGCTGGTTTTAAAGTACTACCCAGATTGCTGGGACTGATGGGTCTCTGGCAGCAATGGTGTCCTACACTCTTCAGGAGCTTCCTTGGCTAGGAAGTTAATTCAGCAAACAGGGCACAAGTCAAATAATATGTGCAGAACCCTAAACTATATATGGGGCCTTTTTATCACCTTCCTAAACCCTGTCTTCTTTCATTGTTCTAAAAATCCTCTGTGTTCTGCATGAGTCATAGGATTTTAATGCTCACAGCACCTTAAAGATCATGCCCTTCATTTTACATATTGGACAGTTAAAAATTCAAATAAATTACTTAAAGTCATACAGAGATTATAACTGACTATATTAGCAAGAATCAGATAAACAAGCAACATCCATTTGGTGAAAAGATTTCTATCTGTACCTAACATCTTCATATAAATTTTTTTTCTCTGATTTCTTCCTTTCTTACATATTGGTGAAGAGCACTGATTTTAGAGTTAGGTGAGGGTTTGCAGTCTAGTTGTGCTACATTGCAGTTCTTACATTTGTTGGATTATATAAGCTCTTAAAATTTGATTTTATCATCTGTAAAGTAGGGTACCTACCTCTTGGTATATAGCAGTGTGCTAAATCAACATTTTAAAAATATCTAATTCACTTTTATTATGAATATATTGTTGAAATAAGTTTTAATAAATACAAAAAGGGCTTTTATATTGTTAATAACATTCATTTGTTTTAAGTTGTATATAATAGTATATATGATATATTAGTATAGGCATCTATGTCTAGGTAAATACCATACTTGGGGATGTGGGATTAATATTATTTTATTGCCAGGGATGCATGATCAAGAAAGAATTGGAACAGCATTGAACTAGAATAAATATATTTTCAAAAACCATTCTATTAGATTGTAGGCAAAGTCAAGTTGTACATGTTATACTGGCTTGCATTTGCCTTTCCTTACACATGTCCCTGTTGTCTTTGCCTGTATTATCCATATAAAATATTGAGACATAGTTTCATAAGCCTAAAGATACTAAGAACATAGTGGGTCATGAACTTATACCTATATTTTAAAAATTGAACATAATAGTCCTAGCAAGTCTTTGGATCCCAGCGGATACACTGAGCTCATTTTCCTTCTCTGGATAGAGTACAGTTGTTGCTCTAATGATCCATTTGTACACATCATGTAGCAGATCCCTCAGGGAGCTGGATAGTCTCTTGTGCGTGTCATTTCCAGGTGTTGAAATTCTTAGGGGACATTGAACTCTTCCAGATCACTTTAGGAGACTCTTAGTTCATAGACCCTAGAGGTTGAGAGACTATTTAGGACCTGAGGAAATTACTTCTTCCTATGTGTCTCATTAACCATCAATAACTATTGTCTCAGATAATTGAAAGAATTGAATCCTTGGAGTAGCAGTGTAGTGCATGGTGCTTTCCACCAAGTAGGCAGTGTTGAACAAGTCCACACCATTTTCATGTTACTCTGTTAATTTTGGTTTTATATCCTGATAATATGTGATTACTGTTACACACACAAAAAATTGTAAATATAATTAACATCTCAAATATATTTTTGATATGAAGTACGTTAATCATTTTTAGAAACTAAGCACACTAATTTTGGATATTTTAGTAATGACCCATGATGACAGGTTTGACAATTATACTGTAACTGATTCATCATACTAGAATGGTGCTTGGCTACAATTGGGAGTTTTTTAAAATAGCGATTAAAACATTTTAGTGGATATATGTGTATGTATTTGACCATGCAGGTACAACTACATATATGCACAAGCAGTTAAGCTTATGTATGCATGGATGAAATCTGGAATCATACTAAGCATTGTTAAGAGTAATTGCTCCAGTTTGTTTTGTTTTAGTTATATCAATATGTGTATGTATCTTGGTATTTCTCATCATCTTAGTCCTAATCAAAAGAGTTTGAAATTCACTGTATTAAATTTAAAAATCATTGACTTAAGCCTTTCATTATCTGTTTTCCCCTTTTCCATTTATTCCAGGTAAATACTCTCATTAGTTTCAATGTACCTTTCATAGTTGAAACAGCAAGACACTCTCTCTTAATGAAAAGTTCCAGAGTAACCTTTGCCAGGTCATTCTTTACTTTTCATGCTTTTAGTACTGGTGTCTGAAATTTGTGTTGCATGATTTTTTTCTCGGTGAAGTTTTATCAATAAATAGTTTATTTTTCAGATTACCCTCCCTATGATAGAGATATAGCATAACATACTTAGTTCATTGCCTAACCTTGCTACTTAGAGCAAATAATAGAGCCTCAGTGTTCTTTATAAAGCTACAAAACGTAGCTCGCTGTGGCAAAGACCAGAAAAGGCTCTCTCCTGAACTGAGCAGTGATTCCCTACCTTATTTTGTTTCTTTAACATAAAAATCCCTGCTTCACCAAAATAAAAAAGTATCCCCTTCTAGTCTTAAAATAAATAATACCCATCTCATTCTTGAAGGGTGGTGGGTGCCTTTCCCTAATATATGAAAATTTTTAATAGCTACCATTTAACATAATATCTAAATTAAAGATTAACATCATCAATAGGAGGCGCATATCACTAAAATTTTTAATTATTTTCAAAAATAAATTGAGGAGAGCATAACTGATAGTTGTTTATCAGAATGGGCTGGCAGTACACCAGAGAACTAAAAAGACTTGTACTGCCTTCAGTACATTCGGGCTGATACACCAGCTAGAATACTTCATGAGGTCTCCACTGTATCTAGACATTATTTAATGCAGTGGTCTGGTTTCCCCTGGTTTTGAATATACTTAACTAATGATTTTTAAATGAATTTGTTTTCATTCATCACAACATCAGCATCATAATTTGAGAACAGTAGTATATTACAGCATGAAACTATTCACAAGGTCTTCTGACATGGCGGATACTGGATTGCTTTCTCTTGTGTAATTATGACCAGCCACTCGTCCAGGGCTTGTTTGGGAATCATTGGTTTGGCAGGAAGAATGTAGTTTTTCTGGACAACCTATAAAGTTGAAACAGAGGTGAGAGGCACATATCCTGTGAGTACAAATTCTGATTGGCCCATGGCAAAGGATGAAACTCATTCCTATGCGATATAAAGTCAGCATTTGAAACAAGAGGTGTTTTTCTAAGGTCCTCAGTTCTGACTCTTACGTAGTACGTTACTATGTAGAAAGCAGGGACTCAATACCTTGTTTAATCTTGTGGTCTTAGGACAAGTATAATTACTTGTAACATGACAGAACAGAGGGTTTTTAGTTCTTCAGTGTTGCAGTATGTACTGAATTTTCCAGGATTTGGGAGCTTTCAGTGGGTAAAGAGATGAAGTAGTTAAAAGGAGAGAAGAAAGAGATGATCCTGGCAAGATAAGTTGAGTCAGATGCTAAGATCACAAATTGAACTGTTTGCTGATATTTGATAATATGAACAAGCCACCTAGTGTCTCCAGATGTCAGTTTCCTCATTTTTATGAAGGCACAGGACTAAATTTTTTTTTTAATGTCTTACAGGCTTTATTTTTCTTTTTTTTTTTTTTATATTTTTCTTTTTTAATTTTTAAAAATTTTATATATTTTTCACCTCATTCTTCACTTTAAGTGTTTTTTTTTTTTTTTTTAAAAACAACATAGTGTTTTATAACACTCTGAAGTCAGACTGTCTGGTGCTGAATTCTGATTCTGCTACTCATTAGTTCTATAATTAGAGCAAGTTTTTCCTTTGTACCTCATATTCTTCTGTAACATGGGGATGATAGTAACTCCATAGTGTGTTGTACATTCAATTAAGGGAGATTTCAGTTAAATGCAAGCTGTGTTTATATTCCTGCGCATGAGGATTTGACTCATCATGAGGTATCTACTCTGAACACTAGCATACAGGAATTATTTCAGAGGATCCATGAAAAACCATTGACTCCACTTTTGGAGTCAATTCCCACAATTGTGTCAGAATAGGAGCAGGAACTGGGTCTTGCTTTTCTCCATAGATATATTTGCACAAGTATTTTCTCCTGAAAGTATTCAGGAAGATGACCTTAAAAATTTAATTAAGGGTGGGAAGAGTGCATGGGTCTATGGTGATGGCACATGGGTGAATTGGTGGTGGGAAGCCCATGGGGATTACAACTTTTTTTTTTTTTTGAGATGAAAAAAATGTACAAAATGAAGAATGATGTAAAAAATAAAAATAATAATTAATAAAAGAAATTTTAATTAAGACTATAAACTCTGGAGTCAATTCATCAGCTCTCTGGGATGCCAGTATTCATTTATGAAGGTCAATTGAACTGATGCAATCCTAGTTACTATATAGATTTCTGTTGTATCTAAGGCTGATCATGTTTGGCCATTGTTTTGGCACATACTCATTATAAAGCACACTGTGTCGCAGAGCAATGTACTTGTAAAGTTAGCATACATGTACTTGAGGCACAGTGGATTGCTCAACTTTTGGAAATCCTATCAGTTCTTTACATGTAGGTCCCACTGAAAAACCTAAAAACCTAGGACACCAGCCTTCAATATAAGAAAAATAAACCAGGACATTTAAAGATTTCTCAAGCCATTCTTTTAATCTTTGGAGTAGAATCCTTAATACATAAACTAATAAGAAGAATGAGTTACTCTGCCTGGAGATGTCCAAGGCTATGGCCTGGAACCCTGTCTACCAGCTGCCTTTCCACTTCTTATTACTCTTCCCAGATGGCCTGAGTCACTTCCAAAGAACTCTAGACTCCTATGCTCATAGTTTAAAAATCAGAGATATCATTAACTATAGTAGGTTAATCTTTCCTGTTATTTATTTTTCAAAAGAAATTTGTGAGTTACATTAAAAACCTGTGTCCTTATTTATAGATTCTGTCGCCTGTATTTTATCTTCATTTGCTATCTTTTCCCTTTGGGATACACTCATACTCTTAATCCTCTTTCTGGAGGCAAATTTCAGTACGCTTGTACTTCCTCTGAAGGTAGGGCTGATCTAGGGCAAATGTGTCTCTGCTTATAGAAAAGTAGAATTACTTGGTTGTTTTTTTTTTAAAGATTTATTTTATTTATTTATGCCTACAAGATCTGGGGTACAGGCCAGAGGTACACAGGAGGGGAGAGGGTAAGAGGATTCATCAGAGACAGAGTGGGGAGCAAAACAGGCAGATCTACTGAAATACTGAGGGGAACAGCAGGTGAGTCAGCTGCACCTCCCTGGCCAGGGATCAAACTCGTGCTGCAGTGGCTCACAATAGCTTAGAAGTGCTGAAACTTAACCCCTTGCACCACCAGGGAGGCCCCTAGAGCTACTATGAACATGAATAATAACTTGATTAAAACATGTGTTTTGATCTCAGGTTATTTCTTTTTATTCATTAGATTTGTCTGCCTCTGCTCATTCTAAGGTGGTGATCTTCACGGTCAACTCTTTGGGTAATTCTCAGTCCTACCTGGATGTGGTACAGAGCAACGTGGATATGTTCAGAGCCCTGGTTCCTCCTCTGGGACATTATAGTCAACACAGTGTCATGCTTATTGCATCTCAACCAGGTAAGAAGTTTAATTTGAATTAATTTAATGGTCCGTAATACCGGCAAAATTTCCGTTATTGAAAAATGTCAAAAACTAGTTTATAAAGGAACAGCTAGAGTATCGCTCCTAGAATAAGCAATACAGTATTTCTGAATCCTGTCAACTACTCACTTCAAATGAGTGACCTTAACTAGAAGATTACAGTTTACGGTGTTTTATGTGTATGAGGTATTACATTTCAGGTTGGTAACCGTGCCTTCCTCAGTGAGGAAATGGTTAAACACCTCAGAGAAAAATGCAGCTTAAGTGAAAGATCTTTTGTTAACTCTGACACATCATAAAATGTTAGTGAGCGTGTCAGAGTATATTTTTAATTTTTTTATTATATAAATTACTCTGAAACTGTTTTACACAAGAAAAGTATTTTTGAAGAATTAGGAAGTACAAAACTCAAATTGTGAACAGGTATTTTTAATGTTCCCATTATGAGGAAATATTTGCATTTCACTCATTTTACTGTAATGAATGGTTGATGGAATCTGTTCTTTTTAATTCCTGACATGTCAGAAAAAAAGTTGTGTTTCTGTCCTAATGCTATACCGCATAACATATTGGTATATATTCTATTTGAAAATAGAAATTCAGCTTAAGAGTGATATAAAAGAGAACTGAATCAATGGAAAAGTGATTATTTTCTGTACCCAGTTTTCATCCTTCTTGCTTATTTATACTAGGAGATTGTCTCCTACTCTAAATTTATATTCAGCAACAAGGTTATACAAAATGCTGAAACCTAGTTAGTTTTTTAATGTACATTTAGAGCATATTGTGCCTCATGGTACTTCTAGGAACTAAGCAAAGCATATAGAAGCTTTAACGTACTTAGTAAAATAAGTGTCTTGTTTATGAACTAGATTAGAAGTATATATTTTTAAATCTTTATATTTTCACCATGTATGCAATATTTATTCTTCATATTTAGTGGAAATTATGACCTTTGTGACATGGAAAATGAGTTCACTTCCTGTAAATCAAGTAATTGGAATTGGATGCAATCTGGACTCACAGAGATTACAATATATTATTACAAATGTTTTGAAGGCACAAACTTCAGGAAAAGAAGTATGGGTTATTGGTGAACAAGGAGAAGACAGAGGTAAAAAATGTTTTCATTAGTTATATTGATCATTTAAATCACTAGTGGACAGTGGCATTCAACTGTCAGCTATTCCTGATCTCTAGGTACTCCACAATTGTGGAATTTCCTTCCCCATCTGAATACCTTCTGTGTGACAGGTACTGAATGGTCTCTACAGATATATCATTCGCATTATATTTACTTTTCTGTAAGGTTGAGATTAGGCAAGACCCCAAAGTTAGATTTAGAATTTTTTATTTTTTTAAAAAGGATTTATTTATTTATATATACAAAACCTGATGTGCAGGCCAGAGGTACAGGGGTGAGAGGACTCACCAGAGACAGAGTGGGGAGCGGGACAGACAGATTGACTGAAATACACTACTGAGAGAAATAACAGGTATGTCAGGAGAGGTTTGTTGTGCCATGTCAGTCACCTCCCTGGCCAGGAATCAAACTTGTGCTGCAGTACATTCAGATAGCTTCATAGTGCTGTGCTTTAACCTGTTGTAGTGCTGTGCTTTAACCTGTTGCGCCACCAGTGAGGACCCAGATTTAGAATTTTTTAATTGAACTTTTAGAGTCCTGGCAATTTCACTTTCTAGAAAGCAACATTTAAATAAACCCTAAAACATACAGACTCTTTTACTCTTTCTACCCTTCGACCTCACTTTACCTTTCCTAAGTTCAGACTAGTTCTCCCTGGATATATACCAACTGTCTGTTTTTCATCTTTTAAACAGAATTTTCCCTTGTTTTCCTTTTGGGCCTTTTTTACAGCTACTTGCTCTCTTCCTCCCACAAAAAGCTCTCAGCTCCCTGAATTGGAAATCCCCTTTTTGTATCTCAAAAGAATGTTTTCTGTATTTGTCTTAGGATCTCTTTCTTTACTCCTATATTATTTAACTCATGTTATGAAGTTGGGTTGGGTCTGGTGATAAAAGTGCTGTTTGCATTTTACTCATTTAAAAATATTTGGGGGGGGGGTCTGCTCTCCTCATCACTGTATAAGGTGTTAGTATGCTATAGAAAAGGCGCAGAGCACAATCTTGCCCATCACACTTAAAACTTATTTTAGGGCAGGCCCTTCCTAGTGGCACAACAGGTTGAAGCACAGCTCTACAAAGCAAACCACAGCCGCTTCAGCACAAGTTCGATCCCTGGCCAAAAAGGTGACCTTTGCTGTCTTGCCTGCTGCTCCCCTCAGCAGTGTACTTTGTTGATCTGCCTGTTCTGCTCCCCAGTTGAGTATGCATGAATAAATCTTTATTTTTTTTTTAATTAGGGCAACTAGAAAGCATTTACAAGATATTTTAGCTAGCAATAAAAGTATAGGGTAGTATTTAATTAAATGCCAAAATAAGTATTATAGACATTTGCGAATGCTTAGACACTTATGAGTGAGGTTTTAACATGGGTTAAAATGACTAGAGAATAGGCCCTCCCTGGTGGCACAGCGGGTTAAAGCACTGCACTAAGAAGCTTAAACCAATTCCGCATGAGCTCGATCCCCGCCTGCCCCGGAGGAGATGACCCACATGGTGTGGCAGACCTCTCCTGACCTGCCCGCTGCTCCCCTCAGCAGTGTACTTGTCGATCTGCCTGTTCTGCTCCCCACTCTGTTCCTGGTGAAGCCTCTCACCCTCTGCATCTCTGGCCTATACCCCAGTTCTGTATGAATAAATGAATAAATCTTTAAAAAAAAAAAAAGACTAGAGAATAATCTATACAGACCATCACTGAACTGGACTTTGCAAAAATGAAAAGGTTTTGAATATAGGCAGTGAAGAGTGGGAAAGATATTCCAAGAATGGGATAGCAGAAGCAGACAAAGCTACATAGGTAAGTATGGCTTGTTTTATGGGATAAGAATCTCAACTACTACTTGCAGAGCATAGCTCTGTAAACATGGCTGAAATCACGTTTTGGAGATCTTTGAATATATAAATGCAGCATTGGAAAGTGATTCCTGGCCCTGGGAATCATTAAAAGCATTGAGCATGAGAGTGACATGTTGAAAAGGTCATTGGGACTTCATCATTTGAAATACACTGCTATTAGTTTATTCAGCATGTGTCCTAGAGTGCACAGTACAATGTAGAAGAGAACTTAGCCTATGAGGAGAGGTGATCATTTATCCAGAGAGCTAAAAAAAGACTATGCACATTAAATAGCAATTAGATCTCAATTTTAAAAAAGAAGTTAGGAGCTTCCCTAGTGTTGCAAAGGGTAAGTCTCATCCCTGTGACGCTGTTAGCAGCCACTGCAGCGCAGGTTTGATCCTCGTTACACTGTCCTGTCAGCAATGTATTTCAGTCAGTCTGCCTGTTCTCCCCACGCTGTCTCTGGTGAATCCTCTCACTGCTCCCATACCTCTGGCCTACACCCCAGCTCTTGTAAGCATAAATAAATAAAATAAATCTTTTTAAAAAATCATTAAAGAGAAATCAGACCATAGTGCCACTAAGCAAATCACCTCAAAACAGTTTTCTTGTAATTTAAAGCTTCCTATATGCTTTGATGTCATTAAAGGAAACAGTGTATTAACAGTGCTCATGTCTAAGGTAGAGATAACTGATAATTCATACTCTTCTGTTTTCTAATTTTGGATATGTAGTATTTGTATAATTTTTAAGAAAGCTATGTGATAAAATAGAATATATTTTAAATCTGTAAAGATCTGCACTTGCTACCTGGAAAGTTCAGTGCTAAAAAGAATCAGGCTATAGAATAAACTTTCACAAAACCTGCTAGTATAGTGGAGCAGAACTGTGTTTCAAGCCCATAATATTTGCTGTCACTAAACACTAATCAGTAGGGCTCCAGAAAAGGATAGCAAATAAATACTTGAAGTATATGTATTAGATTTAATGAATGTCTGGACATTTAAACAAGCCCAAGACCCAGAATTTTCCTCACTGCTACCATTTGAGTTCTGGTCTACGTCAATCTCTGCTTACCTGAATATTGCAAATCTCCCCATTAGTTTGCTCTCTCCCCTCTACCCTGTAAATGATGCCAAATTAATATTCCTAAATCATATTCCTATTTTCAGAAACTGTCACTGACTTCTCTGACCAAAACTTAAATTTCTTTTACTTTGCTTTCAAGGAGTCCCAAAACCTTTTCCAGTTATGTAAGTAGTCATTCTAGAAAGCTGGTAGGGACCCAAGGAAGCATTGATTACATTCATTTTATTAGAGTAACAGCAATGGATACAGGCATGGTTAAGAACTGGTTAAGAATTTCCTGCCCAAGAATCTATAGCTGTTAGGGTCAAAGAACTGAAACTCAGATCTTATTCATGGCCTTGTTTTACTTTGTTTCATTCACAGGGACCTTTGTCTACTTTGCATTATCCTACCCCATAAACTCTTCTCCCTCTCTCTCAGCATATTCAAATCTCACCCTTCAAAGTCTAGGGCAAGCCCCCCCCCTTATTATACTATGAATCTCTTTTTGATCACATCACTGCACAGTAATTTCTCACTCATTTGAGCTAAAAACTATTGCTAACTGTATGAGAATTAACCATATATTGTTTTATGTTTATTCTTTTGTTAAACTGCTGTTTAATTCTGATGCAATTTGAATTTTGCGTGGGCACCTTCTTCCCATTGAAAATATGTTTGTAAGTTGTTCTTCCAATTGAAAATAGTCATATATTTACATTAAAAAATACTTAATAGTACAAAAAGATATGTAGTGAAAAATAAGTCTTTCTGTGCAAGATGCTTACTCCCTCTCACTAGGAGGAATCAGTTACCAGCTTCTTGTGTGACCTTCTAGAAATAGTCTGTGCTTGGCAAGCACAAATATGAAACATACATCATATATCCTTTTCTTCCTTG